GGTACATTCTGATGCTTTCTGATGTGTCTGTGTGCACTGCACACTGCAGTGTTCCCTGCTGCCTTCCACTGTCGTCCTCTACCCTAGTGCTCCTCCGTTTAGCAGCTGTGTGGTCTGGAGCGTGTTACTTAACTTCTCCGTGCTCTAGTTCCCTGCTGGACTCATGTAGGTAGTGAATGAATTAGCACACATAGTGCTGTTTCTCCACGAGTACCTGGTCCAAACAAGAACTTGGTGAACATTGGCTATTGTTAAAAGTACTGATTTCTACATTCTACACTTTAGCCTCCTGGAGGGCCAGGAATTGTCCAACCCCAGGATGCAACATGGCTCCTGCCTACACTAGGTGATGCTTCTCTGGCCTGTGCCAACCAGGAGTTTGGGGTCCCCTTGCAAAGATCGGTGCTAGGGAGACCAACAGCTGCCGCTCTTAAGAGATGAGGAAGCTCAAACAGCAAAGAGCATGAGCAGTAGATACTTGGAGCTTCATCAGCAGAAATAACTGAGCTCCAAATGTGCTACTTGCTAGTTGCTGGATATCTCTGTGCCTCAGTTTCCTTACCATTGAAGTAGAAAAAAATTACACTTCCATCTCATAGACTTGTGAGAAATTTAAGTAAGTTCATGTCAATGAAATTTTTAGCACATTGAGTGTCTTGCCACCTTCTCTAAATGTTCTTTACTCTAAAGGTAAAAATACTATTCTGTGAGTCCAGACGGGACGCAGCTAGGTCTGGCACAGACCCCTTACGGCACACACCCTGGGCTTCCCCAACAGCACAAGCAGCTGAGAAGTCACTAAAGGCTAGGGCCAACACAGAGCTCCACAGACTGATACTGGCCTTGGGAACAGGAGCTTCAGAAGGGACAGAGTACAGGTCCTTGGGCTGCAGCCAAGTGCTCTCTGGGTGGGGGAGGGATATATGTGTGCAGATAGGAAGGTCAGAAGGCTGCGGAGGCTACTGAACCTAAGAGTCCTGAGTGATAATCATCCTCTTTACCAAGATGTTCTAAGTCTCCACATGCTCACACTTCTGACATCAACCACTCTGAGGTGCAGCTATTACTAGTGTCCCCATGTGCACAGGTAGGACTGAGGCCGAAGGTGAGGTGACTTGCCTGTCGATGCTGGAGGATGGTAGAGTGCTGCCCCTAGTTTCCCCTCCTTGCTACCCAGTGCCTCTGGTCCCTGTGTGTGCTGGCCTTGAGCCGGGGCAGCAGCTCCCTACAGTGTGAGGAGTAGCAGGGTCTGTGGGCTGTGGGTTCCAGTCCCAGCTCTTCTTCCTCCCGAGGAGGGAGGCTTTGCACATGTTACTTCAGTTCCAGCCTCAGTTTCCTCGCCTTTAATTTTGGAATGAAAGGAATAAAATTGCACCCTCAGCATTGTCCGTGGATTAAATGTTTGGCTATCTGAAGTACTCTTAGCACAGAGCCACTACACAAGGGTATAGATCAGTGGTGACTGTCACTGGGCCTTGCACGGCCAGCCCAGCTTTGTAGGGCTGCCAGGAAGTTGCCCCAGGCTTGCAGTCCCAGTGAGGGTGGCCTGGACTTCTGAACCGGGCCTGCACCTGCTGAGAAGAAGCTGAGGATCCTCACTGGAGCAGCAGCCTCTAATGAGGCAGATTTGTAGAAAAGCCAGCCCTCCAAAGTGCCTTTAGAGTGCGCTTGCTGAGAAAGCCTGTGCTGGCAGCACTCATGGCTGCCAGCAGGACGCTACCCCTCTTCAAGTCAAGGCCAGCTGCAGTCCCTTTGTCTCCTCCCCCCCACACTAAGAGCAGCTGGAGCAGGGCTTCAGTGTGGCATACGTGACATGTGAGCCCTTCCAGCCGTGGTGGCCCTGGGCCTGTAGACATCCATCTCTGCCTGCAGCTTGCTATGCTGCACTTCAGAAGGAGGGGCATGAGCTGAGTGTGGTGGCACCCCCTGAATCCCAGCACTCAGGACGCTGAGGCAGGAGGATCACCAAGAGCTCAAGGCCAGCCTGGGCTGCATAGGGAATTCAGGGACGGCCTGAATTATGTAATGAGACCCGTCTCAAAATCAAAAATGAAAAAACCATAGTGAATTTAAGACCTGTCTGAACTATATAGAGAGAGTCTGTGTTAGAGAAAGAAAGAAAGAAAGAAAGAAAGAAAGAAAGAGGGTTAGAAAGAAAGGTGGCATTTAGGAGCATATTTTGTGGACTCAACTCACCTCCATCCACTAGATCTTCTCTTGGCCCCTAACCATGTATGGCAATAGCTCTGCCTGGCAATCTGCTCTACACTTGGCAGCCAGGATGAGCTCTTTTCCATGTAAGTCAGGTCTTGTCAGTTGTGCTCAAGGCCTTCCCATTCCCACCTCTCCTACTCAGAGAAAAGGCCAGCCTCTGCCAGGTAATGAGTTGTCACCTTCCTGCTTCATTTCTGTCTGTATTAAGTGCCAGAAGCACCCATCTTACAGGATAATTGGATTAAGTGCATTAGCATTGGTAACTGTTGGAAGTAAATTTTGTGGTTTGTGGTAAACTCTGTTATGTTGTGACAGTAGCCATAGGACCTCTCACCGTGTGGCCCAGCTGCTCTCAGCCTTACTCTGCTGCTTCAGCCCTTCAGTTCTTCCAGAGCTGGGCACATGCCCACCTCAGGACCTTTGCTCCTGTGGGTCTCTGCCTGGAAACCCTCCCTTTCAGCAAAGACCAGCTTCTTCATTAGGCTCCCTCTGCTTCAGTTCAGTCTCAAAAGCTGTTGAAGGGGACAGAGGCAAGTCTGTGCTACTTAGTTTCCAGTTTACTATCAAGCCCTACCCCAGCACAGTTGGGTTCTGGTGAGGGCCTTTTTCCTGATTCACAGATGTCCAACTTCCCGATGTGTCCTCACATGACTGAGGAGAAGAGAAAGGGAGAGGAAGAAAGAGGGCTGGAGGGAGAGAAGGAAGGAGGAGGGAGAGAAGAGAGAGGGAGAGAGTGAGAGAGAGAGGAAAGAGACAGAAGAGAGAGGAGAGAGATCTTGTTACAAAGCCACACAGTCCTATTGGATCCGGCCTTGCCCTTATTAGCTCTTTTAACCTTAATTACCTCCACATTTGTGGCTAGCGGTTAAACATATGAATTTGATGGTGATGGGGGACTCAGTGTAATATATCAGAAGGGGGTGAAGGGGTCGAGGCAGCTCTGCACCGCTGGTCTCTCATGTGGAGAGATACGTGTCAGATCATGCACCTTCTATCCTGGCCCTCTGCTAATCTCATGTGGTCCTCATAATGGCCACCTGTTCTGTAGATAAAGAAACCAAGATCCCACCTAGCTGAGCTCTCTTAACAGAGCCCCCCCAACCCAAGCTGGGAAATGGCAAAATACCTCATCCATAAAATGCAAGTGGCCTAGGACCAGGGGCCTCTCCAGACAAGAGGAGCATGTAGGGTGTGGCAGTGGGTGTCGGTGCCCAGCTTGGTGGCTGAGTGCAGCAGGGCACAGGCGTCAGTGCAGGCTGGGCTGGTCCTCCGGGCAGAGGAGGCTCAGCCAGGTGAAGACAAAAGATGTCCTCTGCCAGGTAGCAGCATCGGCCTTTGTGGAGTCATGGGGACCAGCAGAGGAGGTAGCGACCTCACTCACAAGTGGCAGCAAAGCCGAGGATTGGGCAGGGCTGGCCCCTGGAGGGAAAGTTGTCATGGCAGTTCTGTGAATGGTGTCCTGTGCTCTTTCCCACAGAGGGCAGGAAGGGCTGGGGAAAGAGCTGGCATTAGCAGGGCGTCACCCTGAGCTGTGTCCACAACTCCACATTAGTTAGGTGAGTGGGCCAGGAGTGCTGCTTGAGTGCACAGGTCTGGGACCACCTTGGGTAACATAGTGCATCCCTGTCTCAAAAAGCAGTGTGTGTTGGTGTGGGGGTTGGCATAAGTCTTGTATCAAAGTACATAGCTGAGCTTTACTTAGCTTGGTAGAAGAGGATGGCAGCTGTCCCACGCCTGTACCCCCAAACTGTGGCCTCAGGAAAGATCTCGGTAGCCTTCAGAGATTCTCTGATGTCTGGAGAACTTGAGTTCCATGAGCAGTTTTTCAAGTGCCTCCTAAAAAGGTGTTTGCAGCTCGTAGTGCTAGGAGCTGTTTAACAGCTTGGGAAAGGGGCAGGGCGGTTCTCTAGTATTTGATTTTCATAGTGTAAGTACCGCAGCCCCAGGCAGTACCCTACCATGAATACCACATCCCTGAACGCAGAGCGGGTGAAAGATTTACACTGTCACTCTTGTGAGTCCACCCGTGCAGGCTCCAACATCCCACTGCTCTGTAATCTCCCCGATGCATGCCCACATGCACGCTTCTGTGCACACACACATCCTGTTCACTTCCCATCGCTGTACAGTGGCCCTGCAGGAAGGAACCAGCCAGTCTAGTGTCTCTGAACCTCAGCGGCTTTGAGGCCCAGCTGCTTCTTCCCCTAGCGGGTGTTCGGTGTCTTATCATAGTCAGCCTTGGTCATTAGTTCTGGAAGAGTCCACAGGGTGGGCTAAGTGCTCCATGTGTTTGTCAAGGATGCATCGCCCAACAATCAGAAAGGATCAAGGACCCAGGGTTCCTAAGTAGGACCTGTGTCCCTGGAGAAAGGATGTGGAACATGTGAGAAGGCAATTCAGATGTCACCACTCTCTGGGGGGTCTGGGGCTACACACCAGGCCTCAGCTGCCTGGTACTCCAGTCCATCTGGCTGCCACTTTTTAAGATGAGAAGACTGTGTACCTTTATCCCCTCCTTCCACCCCACCTGGGTATGACACCAGGGGACAAAGGTACCCTGCTATTCCAAGAGTGGCAGTTCAAGGGGGTGCAGGCAGTCACTCAGGGGCCACACTGATGCAAGGCCGGGGCTGTCTTCAGGAGAGCAGGAGAGGCCAACTGGCCAGCTGAAGCCTTTGTGCAGATGTGGACCATGAGATGGTGTCCCCAGTGGCCCCCGAGGGAATTCATATTGTCTGGAGACCTCACTCTCCTCTCCTGGTTGCCTTCCCTTCCTCCCACTATAGGTTTTTCATCATCAAAGAGAGCTTTCTGCTTTATTACTCTGAGAGTGAAAAAAAGAGCTTTGAAACCAACAAATACTTCAATATACATCCTAAGGTGAGACAGCTCCTCCCCAGGGCCACAGTGTGGGAGGGCTCATGGGTACAACAGGGGTGGTAGGAGACAAGGGGTTCATTTATCTTTCTGCAGTCTAGCAGGGAGTCTTGAGAGCAAATCTTCACAAAATACAAGACCCCCGCTCTCTCCTGGGCTGCACCCCATCCCCCCATGCCCAGTCCTTCCTCTTCCCTCTGGGAATCAGTTATGGCCTCTGTCTGGTGGCCCCAAGGTCTGGTCCAGCGGGACCCTTGGCTTTATTGAAGGTCCCTGAATGACCAGGGCTGGTGGGGTGCTGCCTGCTCTGGTTCCTCCTCAGGGTGTCATCCCTCTGGGGGGCTGCCTGGTGGAGGCTAAGGAAGAGCCCAGCATGCCCTATGCCATGAAGATCTCGCACCAGGACTTCCATGTGAGTGAAGCGCTCCTCAGTCTGGACTCGGTGGGAGGCCTCAGCTTCCTCCTGCCTCCCCAGAACAACCCCCTAGGACCCTGGCAGGGGTTGCTGTCATTGCCAGGGGTGACTCATATCAGTGCCCAGGTCCTTGGGGTGGCGGGGAGCAGAGTGGTCTACTTAGCGTGACCACCTCTCAGTATGTCTGTGACTCCTCTTCCTGGCAGGGCAACGTCCTGCTGGCTGCCGAGTCCGAGTTTGAGCAGACACAGTGGCTGGAAATGCTGCAAGAATCTGGGAAGGTGTAAGTGCTCAGCCAGGAGGGCTGCCTGCAAACCGAACGTAGGGCCAGGAAGGGGACCTTGGACACCTCGCCTGTAGCTGGGATCCCGGTGGGCACTGAGACAGGGCCATGGGAGCTGGTCAGAATGGGTGAGAGGAGACAAGCCAGACTTCAGAGCATCTGTGAGGGAAGTGTCTGTAGTCACAGGTGGCAGAGGTGGATGGAACTTGTCTCCAACTCTTGGCAGTGTGAACTCAGTGTCACTGGGTATAATTGGTACCTCCTTGATACCATTTCACCCCTGGGGAAAACCAGAGCCTGTGCTTTGTAAATCTAGTCTAGATATAGCAGTCCTCAGGTCGACACAGTGCATTTGCATATAAGTGCCTATGTAGGCCCCCAAAATAACACTGACTCACACCCTGTCCTGTGCTCAGTGGTGGCCTTGCAGCGGTGAAAAAGCCACAGGAAAGCAAGCTCTTCCCTCTTCTGGGAGCGCTCCTGGCCCAGCCCCCAGTGGCCCACTTTGCAGCCCAAGGTAGCCTCCAGGCACTGTAACTGATTGATTCTGGTGTCGTGCCCAGAGCCCTGGGTGCCACAGTGACAGAGTGCAAGCTGAGATTCTGGAGAGGGTGAGCTAGTACAAAACAGGTGCATTCTCTTTCTCCTCCCCCTTCTCAACTAACGACTTTGTTTCTTCCTTTTCTCTCCTCTGTCCCATCTGCCCTCCCTCCCCAGGACCTGGAAGAATGCCCAGCTGGGAGAAGCTATGATCAAAAGCCTGGAGGCCCAGGGACTGCAGTTGGCTAAAGAAAAGCAGGAGTATTTAGGTTGGCTGGAGGGCATCTAAGGGTAGCGCATGGTGGGCTGGGGAGGGATATCTGAGGGGGCTCCTCAGACTCCTCCTAAGGAGGGCCTGAGAGGCTTCATTGAACCTTAAATGTCCTTTTGGCTAGTGCGGCTGGAGGCAGGAGACTGATAGCCACCAGCCTGGGCTCTGAACCCAACCTTGTCATTTCCCCATTAGCTGTGTGTGTGTCTTTAGGCAGCTGGGCCACTCTAAAATCAGTTTCTTCCTCCTTAAAGTGGAGATAAAAATAGTCTTTAGCTTTTAGAGGCAGAGTGGAGGTCAGAGAGAAAATGCCCGTGGATGTTTGTGTTGGGCTGTTAGTGAGAACTCCATGACTGGAGATGACCTTGCCATCCAGCCCTGGGCCCCAGATCCTGCACTGGGAAGAGAAGATGGTGAAAGTGTGGTTTTGCTCTTTTCCTGGGACCCTGTCCTCTTCTGTCTTCTTAGAAACTTGCAGCCCTGCACTGGTTCCCCTCTGCCTGTTCCACACACACCCCCTTCCTCACACTGGCCGGACACCAGTGCATATGGGTCAGGGGTGAGTACTAGGCTGGCTATAGCAGTCCCTGGGACTGCAAAGACTCCAGGGAGAGGTCCTGTCATGGCCTGTGCAAACACAAAGCAGTGATGACCAGAAAGGAGGGAAGCCGCTTAGGCCACGGAGGTAGCTTCCCTCACCAGAGTTTGCCCTGGGCCCTGGGCCCTGGCCAGCAGGGATGCTGGGCTCTTCCTGGGGAGATGCTGGGGTGACACAGGCCACCTGCAGCACCTGCCCACACAGGACCTCAGATCTGAAGGAACCTTTTGTGAGTGTGTGCTTGCTTTGGCAGACAAACTGATGGAAGAGACCGAAGAACTGTGCCTTCAGAGAGAGCAGAGAGAGGTAGGCACACAGCAGATGTTGAGACCGGCCACCCCTTCCACCCAGCTCTGCAGCACACATTTGACATGGTATCGGGGGTGAGGCAGGGGACTAGGCACCCAGGGGATGTGCTGGGGAGTCAGATGGGGCAGTGCAGGGAGGCCAGGGGAGGTGACATTGCTTGCCACTGGCTGTATCTTCTGGGCAGGAAGCCTATTTCTCCTTGCCAACTGGGAAGGAAAGTAGAAAGGTTAAGGAACCAGCATCTAAAGAAAAAGCCATCCAAGCATTTTGTAAGCTGCTTGTTACTGGTAGAGGAGATGGCCTCTGTTAACCCGAGATAGGGGTCTGGCCCCATTAGGGTGGTGGGGTTTGATGACTTTCTGGTTCCTTCATTCTCTGTTAATAACACAGTTCCTGAGCAGGCGCATAACTAGCTTGAAGCAGCCTGTGGGTCAGGAGACTCTTGCCTTGTTGGTGCCACTGAAGTTCATATCATATCAGATCTCACAGCAGCACAGGTCTGGCCTGGTCTGAGAAGCCACTCCCACACTGGAGGCAGGGTAGATAGAGTAGGAGGTAGCAGTGTGGGATCTGGAGCCAGCTGCCTGTCTTTACTTGACCTTCACCACTTGTAGTTGACAACCACAGGCAAGTTCCTTAACCTGTGTGAGCCTCAGTATTCTCATCCGGGAAAGGGGTGTAATGATGGAACCCATCTTCTTAGATACACTGTGAGGATAAAGGAAGATGTTACTTATAAAGTGCTCGGCACATTGTGTGTGTAATGAGTATCTGTGTCCTGGACATGAACTGTTCAAAACCCAAAGCTGCAGAGAACCCCACAGTAGGAGGACTTGATGGCGTCCACTTATGTGCCTCTTAACTTCTCCTTGGTCTCTTGCTGACAAGCCACAGGGCTGGGGCTAGTGGTCCAGGTGGGTTCGGTGCCTGCTTTCAGGAGCTCCGCACCTTCCTGACTACCCTGCCTGGGGCTCTGCAGTCAAGGAATACCATGTGCCCTTTGCATCCCAGACCTTCCCGAGGCCTGCACAACACCTCATCGGCGTGTGGGAGGAATCAATGACTCTAATCCAGTAGGACAACCCGCTTTTATTTTTCTTCTTCTAAGATTTCATCAGTTATTCTGGCCTACTGAATTCCTACTAAATTTCAAGTCACTGGTTGATTACAAAGAGTGGAAAAGGGTGGAGGTTGTGTATTCAAGGACTGTCATCCTGAGTCTCTGCTCCCTGGGGCTGGGCCTGCATGTCAACAGACTCCCACCTGGGGCCCCAGCTAGAGTGTGGGCGTGTTTGCCACACAGCTGTGTTTTGAGTGTGACTGTGGTGTATTGCCAGCAACTTCAAGACAGGTGATCCAAGAAGCTGGGATGGGATGTGGTGACCGAGCAGCCACTAGCAGGGAAAGACTTATCCGTCAGAGAGGCTAAATCTGGGGCACAGTCAGCTGGAGGAAAATTTAGACACTCTATCTAGGTCTTTAGCCAGAAAATTAGGACAGCAGAGACCATTGGAGGGAGGCCATCTCTGTGAACTCTCTTCTTTTTGGAGTACGAAACGAGTAAATCTCAGGTCCAGCTGGCACCTGCAGTGCCAGGTGCTCTGGGCAGGTATGTGAGAGCGACAACTGTGCCCAGGTCTGCAGTCCTTGTCCACCACATGCTCTAGACCAGCTCAGATCAGCATCTGGTCTGATTAGTGAGTCATTCTGTCAAAATTTTCCTTTTGTAACTTGCTCGTCCATGGCCCGGATCTTTCTGTCACTTGTTCCTTCTCTGTCTGCCCTACAGGGCAGAGACTGCAGATGTGCTTCATGCTACACAGAAAGGCATTTGGTACCGTGGCCCAGTGATAAAGATTCTCCTGATGATCTGTAGAGTCTGTTGGGCAGGCTGGCACCTGAGGCCTGGATTAGAGTTTCAACTTTTTAACCGACTGTGTGACCTTGGGCTTGGCAGTTGACTTCTCTAGCTTTGGTCTGTGAGGTCTTGGCTCGTACCTACAACCTCCATGGAATGCAAGAGGGGTTTTCATGCATTTGAGGGCCGCCTGAGGCCCTCCACATGCCAGAAAGGGTCGGGGACTCTGGGGGCCTGAGCAGAGAGTACGGAGAGCAGAGCACCTCCTGGGCCATCTGCCTAGGGCTGAAGGACCCTGCTGTACTGGCGGGCCAGTGTCCCAGGGATGTGTGGGGCCTGTCTCTTGTCCCCCACCCACACTCCCACACTGGAGGAGGGCAGCTTGCTTTTCTTTGTTGGGCAAAGTGTGAGAGCCCGGCTTCATGTGTGGGCAGGGGCATGGGAAACCAGACATGCCCAGGACCAGCCTGGTAGGGAGCTAGCTATGTCAGATGCTCCTGGTAGAAAGAACCTCGCGCGCTTCAGGTGTGAAGCTCTTCGCCGACCTCCCTGTTGAATGTTGATTCTGGTTCTGGGCAACTCTCTGCTTCTATTACTTGAAAGTGCTTCCTTTCACTAAGTTGAATTTTGCCTTCTTCCTACCTTTATTTTCCTGTGATTTATGTCAAGTCTAAGGATCAGTAGAACAAGCACAATGTAGTGGAGAAAGGCTTTCATGGAGTCAGGTCTTAGCCAAGACTCTGTCTACAGTTACTGCATGCATAGCGGTAAATTCTGTCCCTTCGGGTTTATAAGATGAAGCTTCCCTTCTAATCAGCCTCTGCAGCTATTCCTGAACATCAGCTTCTCTTAAGAGTCTTACAGCCTGGCGTGCGTATCTATAATCCCAGCTCTTGGAGGCTGAGGCAGAAGGATTGCTGTGAGTTCGAGGCCACCTTGGGCTACATCGTAAGACCCTCTCTCAAACAAAACAAGAAGTCTTACAGGTGAAATGAAAAAGTACAAAAGAAGTGAATAAGGAGAAAGGAAATAGCGTTCTCTCTATGTCTGTCTCTGTCTCTGTCTCTCTCTCTCTAGTTCTAGATTTCAGCAGAATGGAGGGAGGAGCACAGTTCCCATACACTCTGCTGCCCGCACTGCTGGCCATCTATGTCCCACAGCACATTTGTCACAGTCGATGAACTGTGCCTTTGCTTTCACCCAAAGTCCAGTGCTTGCCCTACGGCTCACTCGTGGTGTATTTCTATGGATTTTGGCAGCTGTATGATGTACCCACCGCTGTAGCATCATGCCGGAAAGTTCACTGCCCCAGAATCCCTCTCTGATGCGTATATTCATCTCTTCTTCCCCACTAACCCCTAGCAATCTCAGACCTTTGTACTATTTCTGAAGTTATCCTTTCTCTAGAATGTCATATATGGTAGTTGGAATCATACACCATGTAGCGTTTTCATATTGGCTTCTTTTACTTAGTAATATTATTTAATTTTCTTGCATGTCTTTTTGTGCCTTAGTAGCCCATGTTTAGCACCAGGAAATTGTCCATTTTTGGGATATACAACATTTTATCTGTTCTCCCCACTGAAAGGCGCCTGGTCACTTGTCAGTTTTGGCAGTTATAAAGAAAAGGGCTGTAAACAGCCATATACAGTTGTTTGTGTGGATGTAAGTAAAAAGCCATTCCTAGATCATATAGGAAAATTATGTTAATTTTGTAAGAAGCTGACAGACTCTTGGAAAGGAGCTGGACCATTGTGCATTCCCATCAGCAGTGATGAGACTCCGCATTTTTACTCACATTTGATGTCAACATTTTGAATTTTGGTTGTTTTAGTAGGCAGGTAGTGGCATCTCATTGCTTGACTTTGTGGTTGCCTAATGATATACGCTGCTGAAGATTTTTCATGGGCTTAGTTTCCATTTGTAGATCTTCGGCTGAGTCTCTCTTACGGTCTTTTGCCCATTTTAAAAACTGAGTTGTTCATTTTCTTACTGATTTCCCCCCCTTTTTTTTTAACTCACTGATCTTTAAGAGTGTTTGTGTTTTTGGCTAACAGTCTTATCAGAAACATCTGCAGGTGTTTTCTCCCACCCTGTGGCTAATCTCACAATTGAACGGCCACTTTGGAGGGAATTTCCGCAACTTCTTACAAATCTCAGGTGCTTTTCCTTTTGGGGGCAGCAGGTACTGAGAATTGAACTCAGGACGCCCTGCTTGCCAGGCAGGCGCTGTGCCACTGAGCTAAATCGCCAGCCCTCTGGTGCTTTTTCAATGTGACTCAGCAGTTCCACTTCTTGACATTTTTTGCAGAGCAGAAGTTTAACAATTTTGGTGAAATCCAGCTTATCAGTTATTTTATGACTCAAGCCTTGGTGTTGAATCTAAAACACCAGCATCCCAGTCACCCAGATCTCCTCCTATGCTGTGTCCTAGGAGTTTCATAGTTTTGTGTTTTGTATTTGTGTTTATGGTCCATTTTGTGTTTATTTTTTTGTAGAAGGTGGAAGGTTTGTGTCTAGATTCACTTTCCCCCCTTCCTTTCCTTTTTTCCTCCCTCTTTCCTTCCTCCCATATAAAATTTAGGACCAGTTTGTCCATAGCCATAAAGTAATGTACTGGAATTTTTCACTGTTATTGAATTGACTGTAAAGATAAGTTGGGAAGAAATGCCTTCTTGACAGTACCAAGTCTTCCCATCCAGGAACATGGAGTAGGTCTCCATTGTTTATTTCTTTTCTTTTTTTTTTTTTTTTTGATATATTTCATTAGTTGTGTAGTTTCTACATATACATCTTGGGTATTTTTTAGATTTAGAGCTAAGCATTTACTATCTCAGGGATAATAATATGACTGTGTTGTGTCTTTAATTTCAAATCCCACTTATCTGTTGCTGATATACAGGAAAACAATTGGCTTCTGTACATTGAACTTGTAACCATGCTACAACTGTTTACGAGCTGCAAGCATTTTTGTGTCAGTTCTCTTGAGTTTCCTGCACAGGTGACCATGTGATCTGTGACAAAGACAGTGTTTGTTGCCTCTTTCCAATCTGTGTACCATTTATTTCTTACTCTTGTCTTACCACATTACCTAGAACCTCCAGCATACGTTGGAAAGCAGTAGTGACAGGAAACATAC